GCTCTTGCTCAGGCTGGTTTCGAACTCCTGAGCTCAAACAATCCGCCCGCCTCGGCCTCCCAGAGTGCTAGGATTACAGGCATGAGCCACTGCGCCCGGACTGCTAAGGCTTTTTAATTTGCCTCCCAAAAAGCTAGTGCTGGAAACTTAATCCCCAGTGAAACAGTGCTGCAAGGTTAGGCCTAGTGGGAAGTGTTTAGGTAAGGAGGACTCCACTCTCGTGAATGAATTAATGCAGTTATAAAAAGGTTTGTGCGTTGGATCTCTTGCTCTCTCTCATCCATGTGATGCCTTCCACCGTGTTATAACACAGCAAGAAGGCCCTCACCAAAGGCAGCCCCTCAATCTCAGATTTCCCAGCCTCCAGGACTGTGAGCCAACTAAATTTCTGTTTGTTATAAATTACCTCATCTGTAGTATTCTGTTATAGCAGCATAAAACAGACTAAGACAGGGCCTGACCTTCTGAAAAATCTGTAATGCTTATCTTCCTACCAACAGGTATAAATGAATATGATCAAATAGATTGCTTTCCTTCTCAGCAACTATGAAGAAGAAGAGTTTTGATGGTAGGGGAAGTCAGAACAGAGTAATTTTGGTACAGAATACCTCAGGGCAGTGTGATCTTTATGAAATCAACACAGTGAATGTTAACCAGCATTTTTTTTAATGAAACAGAATAGAAAATATTAAAATGCACTGCACAGAGTAAAAGGTAAGTACTGTTCCAGGAATCTTTTGTTTCTTTACATACACATACACACATATATGCTCAGTCTCAGGTAAACATACTGTAGATCCTGGTCCAAAAAGTTTGAAAGCCACATTTCTAAGTGTAGAACCATTCTCTCTGAAGAAAGAATGCCATGCAGGGGGAAAAACCAGGAAAAGATGGTAGACACGTTCAGGAAGAATAAGAGATGTGGATCTTAGGCTTTTCCTGGGTGTACTACACTTCTACTGCCCTGCGCTCAGAGCTGGTTCAAGTTCCAGCTCTGCAACCTATTAGACTTGTGTGTGAGACCTCAGGTAAGTCACTGCACTACTGAGCCTCGTTCATCTGTAAAAAAGGGCTAAAGTATCTCCATCTTGCTTACTTCACAAGATAGTCTTAAGGATCAGGTAAAATAATGATATAAAATCACTCTGTAGACTAAAAGTATTATACTGTTACTGTTATTTTATTTTAAACTATACTGCCAGAGTGATAAAAAACAAACTGTTATAAGCATCAACGATATGCCCAAATCATGGTTACCCTATTGTGTGGTTAAATAAGGCATATATTAGGAAGCTGTGGGGAAATACTAGGAAATTATTTCCTTAGAGAAAGGTAGCTGGGAGAGTACAAATAATAACACTATCCATATGGACATACTTGTCTCAAGTAATATACATGAAAAAGTGAGCACAAAAAGTACTTAAAATTAAAAAAAAAAAATCACTGGTTTTGATGGGTAAGACTTTCTAAAAGGTAAAATGAATTGAATTTTGAAGAAAAGAATAATGAAGCTTATTTTTTTCTTCGTATCTTAAATGGCTTCCCAATACCAAAAGATGCAGCATCAATTATCCTTTAGGCCTAGTTCAACACCCTCCTCCAGAAAGCCTACTGCTGTCCCCAGCTGCTATCTCTAAATGCCTCAAGCAGTCAGTGTTTATACTTTTCAAGTGACACATAACTAATATTATAAGGTGGTATAAATGTATCACCCAACATGAAGTTAGGAAAGGAAGCCTACTGCAAAGCAAGAAACACACACTTTATTTTTTGTCTATCTTTAAGTCTAGGACTAAAAAGACCTGCTAGTGAAAACTAACCATCCAGCCTGGTGATGGGCATCCACTGGCCTCAGCTCTTGAGCCTCTGGCCAATAGGGCACATATGTGCATGGGTAATCTAATTACAGACACTTTCAGTAGCTACAAATTGTGTAAGGATTCATACTTATGTCACTGGGCACAATTCCAATATCTTAAATAATCTGTTTAATACCAGAAGCACATCCTACAGGTTTAGTATACTTTCATTTTTCTGTTTCTATAAAATTTTTATAAGCAAATTAAAGGTTTTCTCTTCTTATTCTCTGTCTTTTAGATAGTAATTTCCTGAGGGTGATAGTAGTATCATTATTTTCACTTTCAACATGTCTGTCATTCAACACATGTGATATATTAAGAAACAAACAGAAAAACCAGGGGTGTGGAGGGGGGAAGATGGGAGGGGATGACCTCTACCTCTACCCAACCCACAGACCACAGACTGCTTACCTCTTGCAGCGTCAACAAAGTATTAAGGATAGCTGGTAGTGTAGTCTGAACAACTCCAAATCTGTCTTCTGTAAATGATGCTGCCACTAAGTGAGACAGACCTCAAGGGGAAAGAAAAAAAAGTTAAAAATGAATCAAAATTAGGCAAATCTATTTGTAATACATCTATTTGAGGAAGGATTAATGTTCTGAATATTAGAAAAAACTACAAATAACGAGGGTCAATAAATGCAAAAATGCGCAAAAGATCAGAATGGCACAGAAAAGGTGCTCGACTCCATTTGTCATAAATAAAATGACAGTGTCCCTGGCTTTACATTCTATTTTGAAGAATATTATCTTTTAAATAATTTTGTGTTGGGTAGTGCTAAGTGCTAGAAAGAAAATCATGGTAACGGGGTGGAGTGACAGTTGTGAGGAGGATACTTTTCAGAGGATGGTCAGGAAAGGCTTCTCTGAGTGTCATTTAAGCACTAGAAGGCAGTAACTATAAGATGAAAAGAAACAGTTCTTTAACAACTAAGTTTTAATATTTAGTATAAGTTAAAAACATCTATATGTTGCTTTTTTTTTTTTGGAATAGAGAAAGATAGTGAAAAAAATCCCAGGCTCAATTTCCCTATTTATTTATAAGAAAAAATTTTGCCCAAATCAGAGTATACCCAAATATCTCTTAGAAATGATCTATTATAGGCCGGGCACAGTGGCTCATGCCTATCATCCTAGCACTCTGGGAGGCCAAGGCAGGAGGATCACTTGAGGTCAGGAGTTTGAGAATAGCCTGAGCAAAAGTGAGACCCCACCTTTACAAAAAATAGAAAAAATTAGCCGGGCATGGTGGCATGTGCCTGTAGTCCCAGCTACTCAGGAGGCTGCGGCAGGAGGATTGCTTGAGCCCAGGAGTTGGAGGCTGCAGTGAGCTATGATGATGCCATTGCACTCTACCCAGGGCAACAGAGAGAGATCCTATCTCAAAAAAAAGATCTATATAAAACAGAGATACATAAAATGTATCTGAAAATCCAAAGATTAAGATCAAAGCCAAGAATTGACCTTTTGTGGATTATACTTTAATATTTAACTAATAATTAAAATCATAGTTACAATTCAGAGATTGCTTACCTTCTAATGCCCAAATATGCATTTGGGCATCTGAAAAAACAGCCTGAATGGAGGCCTCCGGGTGCTATAAATAAAACAAAAACATTTAAGTAAGTTCCCTTGGGTAAAAACTCTATTATTTCATCTAATCAAATATGTAGGCTGTAACAAAAAAACCTGACAGCTGCCTCTCAAGAATTAAAATCTGAAATAAATTCTTACATTTAACTTGGTAATTTTTGATTTACTACAATAAAGCATTCTGCCATCAACTTACCATGTGATTCTTGCCAAGTCTCTACATCTCTATGTGCCTCAGTTTCTCATTTAAAGTAAGAGTTACACATGCTCAACCCACCTCAGGGGACTAATATAGAGATCACTTAAGAGAATGGTTATAAAAGCTCTTTTTAAAACAAAAGAACTAGGCCGGGCGCAGTGGCTCACGCCTGTAATCCTAGCTCTCTGGGAGGCCAAGGCGGGCGGATTGTTTGAGCTCAGGAGTTCGAAACCAGCCTGAGCAAGAGCGAGACCCCGTCTCTACTAAAATTAGAAAGAAATTAATCAGACAACTAAAAATATTATAGAAAAAATTAGCCGGGCATGGTGGTGCATGTCTGTAGTCCCAGCTACTCGGGAGGCTGAGGCAGGAGGATCGCTTGAGCCCAGGAGTTTGAGGTTGCTGTGAGCTAGGATGATGCCACGGCACTCTAGCCTGGGCAACACAGTGAGACTCTGTCTCAAAAAAAAGAACTGCCCAAATACTTACTACCTCTCTTAAATTGTCTCCTCCCAATCCTACTCCAAAGAAAAATCACCAAAACCTTAATAAGCCACTGTGGAATAGTGTGGAGCAACGATTCCCCATTTAAACAAATTCTGGCTTTGGTGCTGCACCCAATGAAGCCTATTAAGTACAACATAATAAGCTTATTAAGTTACATTTCTCAATTATCTCAACATCAAATAGCAGTGTCTACAACTCCTTATCATACAATAGATCCTCTTGCAAAACTGAATCAAAAGTAGCCATTCACTTCCAAGGAAAAAAGGAGACCCTGGTCAGCATCTGTTCTGCCACTTCCTGGCTATGTGTCCTCAGACTAGCTATTTGGCCCTCTGAGCCTCAGGTTTCCTTATCTGTAAAATGAGGACAAAAAGACATATCTCACAGGAATGTTGTTAGAACTTAAGTGAAAAGAGAATATGGCACACATAAGACATTTAAGGTGAGTTCTCTTTTCCTCCTTCTGAAACCAAGCACTGAAGTAAAACTTCAGACAACCCCTCTTCCTCTTGGGGGAAGATAAGGCACCTTCCTCTACTGGGTGGCCCAAGGTATTAATAGATTACTTTTTGGTAAAGGTAATTCCTAGTTGGATGGATCTTCCTTTCCACCACAGTGAAAAAGTAGTTTGAAGAACTTGAAATGACTCTGTTATGTTATCAATCAGGGTTGCCCAGATCTCTTTCCCTACCAGAGTATGACTCCCAAACAACAAAAATGAGCAATGGATGCCGATGCAAACTTTCACTTGAAGGCATTAATTGAATGGATGCAATATTATCGAATACTGCAATACCTACAGAGAGAGGCTAGATTTAAAAAGGAAAAACAAAAATTTTTTCTATGACATATGGGCAAAGGTTTTGCTCATCAAAGGATTAATTAACAAACAACAGCTGTAGCCAGTGAAAACAGGTATGAATCTTTAGCTTCTACAACTGAGATTTGTTCTCCTGTGGCAGCTGGAATAGCTAATGGACATGTTGGAAAGTCATTTCATGTGTGGCCTGAATTACAACTTCTTATCTGTCACAAATTTAACATCTGCGATCTCTCTTGTGAACACAAAATTGGTCACAAAGATGTTAGCAGAACAATGAGCCATGAAGCATCAGATAGGCATGGATTTGCTCACTTTGCGAAGATCCAGGCAGCAGGAAGGGGTCCATATTGCATATTAGCACAAAGCTGCTGACAGCCAAGAGTCTCAGGAGTCAACTAGAGGGTCAAGCTTCAGAAGCCAGTGAAGTGAAATGTGTGTCTAGGGCAACTATTGTTAAAATGGAGGTTCAGTGAAGCACTATGCAAAGCTTCCTGGCTTGCTAGGATTAAGCTATAAAATATTTATAAGTCAGATCCTCTCTGATACTTCATTTTACATTTCATTTCCCCTCTCCCCATGCCCAGTGCTATGACTACATATTCTTACCTTACTGAAAAAATACATTATCAGCACCCGTTTTGACAAGAAATTCTTAATCTGAGTTGGAAAAAAGGAGAGTTAACTTTAACATTTACATTTTAAATTCTATTCAAATATAATATTACACATTTTCAGGTTCTTCCTGACACTAATTTGAATGAAAAAATGAAACATCTCACATCTTGTGGAGAAAGAATAACCTACAATAAACCACGTAAATACCTTTGTACTACAAATAGATAACCAAGATGAGCCATCTAACCTAAACTCTATTACCACGTACACACATTTAACCCCCAAATTAGAGCCCTGCCATAATAAAAGGAATTCTAAGTGGTTTTGGTGTTATTTTCTAAGACCATATTCTTTCTCAATTCTCTAATTGCCCTTTAACCTCTTAATACCAAAAAAAAAAAAAAAGAACATGTTTCCTACACAGGAAAAGAAAATCCAAGACATGAAATCGTTCTCTACTAGTTGATATTCACAGGGAAAAAAATTTTCTTAGTAGTATATCACGCTGAAAGCTAACACAACTGACTTGAAAGTGAATTCTCTACCACCATACTCTCACCCAAAAGCTATATAACTAGTCAGAGGGATGTAGCAGGCACGTGTCTAACTGCTGTACAACAGGCAGCGTGGCACTACCTACGGCATGTAGAGCCATATAGGATCCTGAAGTCTGTAAAATGCCTTTAACCATTCTCTCTCTACTAATAGATCATTCCATCAGCAAACATGTTATAGTTGTCTCCCATCTTAAAAAAAAAAAAAACCATTCCTTGACCCCTCAACTCCCCACAGCTATTGCTCCATTTCTCTGCTCCACTTACACCAAAATTCCTTGAAATATGTGACTTTTCTTATAGTCTCAAGTTCTCTCCCAATCTCTCCTGAACCCATCCCAATCAGGCTTTTGTCCCCACTATTCCACCCAACACCTCTTAGTGACCTCTACATTTCTAGCTCAATAGCTAATTCTTAGTTTGCATCCCATGCTACCTATCGGCAGCATCTGACACTCCCTCCTTCTCCTTGAATCACTTTCTTTTCTTAGTTCTCTACTCAGCCCAATGGCCACTCCTCGGTCTCCTTTGCTATTCCTCATCTCCCAGACCGTTAGTCACTGGAGGGCCCCAGTTCTTGGATCTCTTTTCTTCTGTATCTACACTCCTCGAGGGTTTACATGAAGTATCATGGCTTTAAATACTTCCTATATTCGATGACTTCCAAACTTACATTTCTAGCCCAGAACTTTCCCCTATACCCCAGATACATGTCTAATTTCTTACTCAGTATTTTCGCTTGGTTGTCTAATACGTATCTTAAAGTTGGCAAGTCTAAAATCAAACTCCGGATTTCGCCACCTCACCTCTATCAAATCTCCTCCTCCAGAATCATCAGTAAATTGCAACTCAATAAATTGCAACTATATTATTCCAGAACCTTGGGCCAAAAACCTTAGAGTCAATATTGACTCTTTGTCTTATAAACCACAACCAAACCATAAGCTAACCCTATTACATACTTTAAAATGCATATCCAGACTCTGACCACATCTTACAACCCCCACCAAAATTCTGGTCACAGATATCACCATCTCCCACTAGATCACTGCAACAGCTTTACACTGTCTCTCTGCTTCCACTCCACTTTCAAAACGGAAGTTACATTATATCATTCTTGTGGGCAAAATCACATTGGCTTTCCGTCTCACTCAGGGAAAAGCCGGCCTTTACCACAGCTAATGGGTCCAGTGAGCCCTGGGTGCCTGTTACCCCTGTGACTTCATCACCCCCTCTCCTCTCCCTGATTCGGCTCCAGCCACACTGATGTCCATGTTGTTCCTCACACCAGGCAAGCACACAACTGGCCCAGGGTCTTTGCATTCTGCTGCTCCCTGTCCTCCCTTCAGGTCTCTCATCATCACCTTATCAGTGAGACTTTCCCTGATCACTCCACGTAAAATGGTACTCCCTCCCCAGGTACTCTTGTCTCTCTCACTTGCTCTATTTTTCTAGATTAACACTTAAGACATAGTAAATTTCTTCCCTCTTAAGCATATTTTTCATATTTTGAACATGACCTACCAGGATGCATCTTAGTTAACAGCATGTCATAGTTTAAAGCAACTTTTTTTCTTAATAGCATATAAGTGTTACAATTAATGGAATTTTATATCTCAAAGAAAAATAGTATAACACATTTCCTTGCTCATCTATCTACCTTCTCTAGCATGTAAACACTATATGGGCAAGGATTTTATTTTGTTTGTTGTTTCCTCAGTGCCTAAAACTGCACCATGCATACATAAAGAACTCAAATATTTCTTAAATGGAAGAATTCACAGATTAAAGACGTTGTATCAGGTCAAGCCACATGAAGTTGCAATTTGTATAGCTCACAATCAGTCTAATATTGGCAATTTCACGTAAGTCAATTTAATACACAAAGCATCAAAAAAAAGGTCATATTTATTCCTGATGACTTCCTAATGTGAGATCCTTAATGCTCTCAATGTCACATAAATCCCATAACCACATCACCCTACCTGTTCACGTTTATTCTGAATCCATGAATATATCACACTGGGTTGTCTCACTGTCTTACCCTCGGCACTAATAGAGGTAGATGGAGAAGGATTAGAAAATTCACTCATTTGCTGATCTATTTAAATAAAACAAAACAAAACAGTAAGGTGAGAATTAGGCTGTCTGATCCTATGCAACTATAACATTTCAAATTTTAGAAAATAAATAATCCTCACCAGACGCAGATGTCCACAATCTTGGCCCCCTTCTTATTAGCTGAGGACTTTGTGGTGACCCATAGCAGGTGTTTACATCAAAAATTCCCGCCATCCGATTCACTACACTAGAGCCAAATGGGGTCCCAAGGGGACTTGCAACATCAGGTGTAGATAATTTTGAAGAAAATAAGGATGTTTTAACTAATGGTGGCATGGAAGGCCGAAGCATCTGGCTGGATTTTGGTGTTTGAAAAGTAGTTTCTTCTGTAAAAGAACAGATCCAGTGAAGGGGCAACCTGATCCAAGCAGGCTAGCATGAAGGTTCTCAAATTTTATACATCTCCATTTCTTGTTTAACACCTTTACCCAAGCTCAGTAGATTATTTCCATTTTACTTTACATTACATTCTCAACTAAACTGCATTTTACTGCGGCAATTCAATGACCACTCAAGGAGCTTTATACATCTTTTTCTGTCAGATTAGCGCAGCCTCTCTTTTTTTTCCCCTCCATGAACATCTTCATCTTCAAGGTCAGTTTCTCTAAATGAATTCATCAATTGACATTTTATTTTTAAATGGCAACAATTTTAACTATTACATTAAAACTTGTCCAGTTTTAGTGTATGTTCCTATTGTAACTATCATTTGGCTGAACAAATCTATAATGTGAACATGTAAAGGAAAAAAGTGCTGACCTTATCTCATTTTCTCGAAAGTTATTTCAAGTTAACAAAAGTCACACCAAAGCCTAATTTTCCCAGGGTATCTATAACTCTGATCTGTAAACAGCATTTTTGAAAATCATCTTATAACTCTATCAATTTAGTTATAGAGCCTATTGTACAAAAACAAAAGAATCTTTCCTGCCACTCCAGCACAAGGCACAAAGACAAACAAATTGCATTGGGATTCTATCTTCCTAACGAAACCACCGTAAGAAATTAAACATCCCAAGTACCAAATTTTCATTACATGATGTTTTAAAGGTTAGTGGAAATCAGAAATCTTTGAAGAATCAAATTTTTAAAATTAAGACTGGAATTTTTAAGAGTTTTGCAATTATTCCTCAAAATTAGAGGCAAATTTTGGTTGAGCAATGGGATATGATGAAAATTTAAAAATAATGAATGCTCCATATTTGGTCAGACCCATGATCTACCCAACCCAGGATTACAATGATCTTTCTAACATGCTAATTTGATCTAACTAGCCTATTCAAAATTCTCCAATGGCTCCATAGCCCTATGGGATAAAATTAACTTTTTTTGGGTAGCATACAAGGCCTTCTTTCTTTATCAAACATCATCTTACCCATTCAGAAGACTCCTTTTTGACAGATGTCCTTTTAGCAGTTCTATTGTCTTGTCATTATTTGTATGCCTTCCACTAAAAGGTTTATATCATGAATATTTTTTCCTCTGTGATTCCCTGGCTTCTAGCACATTGTTTGATATGTAGCAGGCATTCAATAAGTATTTGTTGAATAAATAAATGCTTATCTGAAAGCTGACAACATCTGAAACACTCTCAAATTTTTTAAGACATTCATGAACTTATTTAACTCATTTTTCATTTGTAATCTATTTGTTTTTGGGCCATGACTCTTCCAGAGTAATCACTTCAAAACCACACATGACTTTGCTTTGACCCATACTGAGTTTTAAAATATCAATATTAGTTGCCAATGTTTAAAAACAGGAAGATTCCACCACAATTTTTTTTTTTTTTTTTAGATTTCAGGCTTCTCTTTAAAAAAAGACCAGAAGCTCAGATACTGGGTCCAAATTCCCACATGGGAGCCATAGAGCAAAGCTAACCCACAGCTTCCCTCTTCAGACGAAGTCTGTGCTCTCAGGTTTACCACTGTCCCCACCTAGCCAGTTTCATCCATTTTCATTAAAAGCCTGGCTCCAAAAGGCATCTGAAAATGAAGTCCGTGCCAGCCTTACATTCACAGGCATCTTCTACTTAAGGGAAGTGGTGAAATAGCACAGGTTCCCCCACTTATACTTCATCCTCTCAGCTTTCGTCTTTCAAATGGAAGATTGTATCAGGTTCTCTTGAAATGAGTGTGAAGCCCACTCCCAAATTACTCAAGCATTTCAGTTGCTCTTCTATGGACCCGCAACGTTTTGTCTCTGGTATACTGTAACCAGAACAGCATCCAATATTATCTGTAATGATTCATCTGGCTTTGTACTAGAGTAAGCTAAAGTACATGACCATCATTTTGGTATCATTTTTAACACTACCACCACACTGAACTTAATTTTTTTTTTAACTGACCAGTGAAAAACTATATACATTTATGGTGGACAACGTGATGTTTTGGACTTAATTTTTTCAATCTATAATGATACCCAGTTCTTTTTCTTGGTTCAATACAGTATCCCATATGTTGAATCAATTTGCCCTAAAAATGCACACTTTAGTCTCATATAAGTACCCTTAGATTACTGTCTTCTTTCTTAGGAAATAAAATGTAAATGCTTTCCCCTCTCTTAGTAGTGCTCGGAATTACCTGGAGAGGTCATTTTCTTAGGTTCCACTAGGCAAGATGAAGACATTCTCCCATTCGTAGCAGCAGCTTCTTGGTAAAGAATCAGTTTCTGAGTCATATCATTTAAAAGATTCAAACACTCCCTTGAAATGGCTGTCCAATTGTGAGGATGTCCCCCTAGGAGGTCCAAACACCAGCGTTTAAAACATAGATAATCTTATAGTCTCCTCGCAAAGTGGGGGATAAAAATCAGTAAGAAATTCTACATTATAATTTGCATAAGGGCCCACTTTTCCTAGCTAAGCTACTATTTATACTCATGCTATCTAATTCATAGCAGTTCAACAAATATTTGGAGGAATTAACTTTCCCAAAAGTCTATAAGCAAAAACTTGCTATTTTAAAAACCTCTCAAATTGGTCACTAAAACCAAAGACTAGGTCATAGTTTGAGTGAGAAAGACCAGAGTTACTTCACTGGCAATACTGAACAGACTGCTAAGACTGTGAACAACAAACTAAGACAATGAATACTGGGGTGTCCAATGAGATATACCCCATGGTCCCTAGCAACCTCTAAACTGTTGTGTCTGACTCACTGTGCTTTCTTACATTTTCATATATATAACAGTCCCTGCTGGTATTATAAGAGTAACTCATTAATAATGATCATACTCTATACATGGAAAGTTTAAAGATCTGCTATCTTATTATTTAACTTTAACAACTGTGATTCCTCATGCCTTTAAAAATTCTCATCATCATTTTTAATTTTCTAAAATCTTTGTCTCCTAGAGTTATGCAAAAATAAAGCATGCTTCGTTGTGTGTTAAGAATAGCAGAGTAGTCCACTAAGAACTGGTTTCCTTATCCTGTGTGCCAAATAATCATTCCCTCTTCACTTAGGTCTCTCCTTAAATATTTCCCCCTTTTACACATCAAGAGGAATATCACTTAACCTGCAAACACACACACATACACACACACACACACACACACACACACACAAAGTACTCCCTCAATAGGCCTCAGGATGTTTTATACTGCTGTAACTCAGGACCACTGAGAACTGTGTAACAGTGCAATTAAATTTTAATATGCCCTAGAATGCACGTTCTCTGGCAGAGCACATGCCACCTTTTTACCGTTTACTTGAATCTCTGGTAAAAATATTTAATGTACAGAGAATTCCTAAGTTAACCCAAAACTGGTAGAAAAATATTGTTATAGTTAATTTTCCATAGTATCAGCTCTGGATCTCTCATGCTACTAAAAAGAGAGTGGCTCCACTCAATTATATTTTTATATAACTGGGTTTCATTTCCATATAACATTTAACCACAGAAGGTTTATTTTACAGTCTGGGAACTGGCAAGTTTGACGAAATAATAAAGAGCTGATTAGAAAGGAGATGAAAAGCTATCCAGGTTCTCTGTTTCCCACCTGGCTGGGGCTGGACTGTGTTCCCTCTAGGAACAAGGCAGAGCACTGGCAAAGTCAGTCTTGAATAGCTTGGCAAGAAACAGGAGAGAAGTGTTTCTCTTACTCCAATTCTGACAACTTTATTTAAGCCACTCTATAAGACTTGTATCTTCCATGGAGGAATTAGACCACCTGATTTTTTTTTTTTTTTTTTTTTTGAGATAGGTCTCATTTTATTGCCTAGGCTGGTGGAGAACTCCTGGGCTCAAGAGATCCTCCTCAGCCCCCAAGTTGCTGAGCTACAGGCATGAACCACCACACCTGGCTAGACCACCTGTTTTTTAAAATTCCTTGTAGCATTAAAACTTTTAAGATTCTTAAGCTGTGATTTTTCTGCTCTAAAACTGTCAACCTACTGTATAATTCAGATTAAGAGAATGAGGGAGCTGAGGGAAATAAACATTTAACTTTTCCTGGTGACATAAATCCTACCCACAGCAATGCAAACACTTAAGTTGTATAAAATTTAAGTCAGTACTTCATTTAATGGACCCACTGAGGTGTGATAATTCATTAAATACACCTCTGTCACCAAAATCTTTAAGTGGAGCACTTTTGACACACACATGCCTAAATCAGGTCTATTACTTTCAGCAATACCTGGTTGACTAAGGCTAAAAACTTCTTGTCTTCGTGAAGGAGAATATTGAGAAAGCAACATCAGGTCCTGCAAGGCTAAATACTAAAAAGAAAAAAATACACATTATTTAATTTTTTAACCGCTACACAAAACCTTACTTACAAATTGGGCTTATCATTATATATCCACAGGGAAATTAGTTGGATTTTTTCATGAAAGAAATAATATTTCCGAACCACAACCTTCCTTTATAGATTTCCAGAATGTTCCTGTTTCTATCCTCCCTACCTACTGGCAGCTCTAGCTACAAGGAACTACAGAACTCTCTGTATTATTTCCTACCTCTGTGGTGGGAAACTTAAACATCACTTCCTCCTGGAACTTTCCCTGGCCTCCCTCAAACAAACATAGACTCACACAGCTCTCAACAAGCATTTAACATAATGTACTGTAATTACCTACTTACGTATTATCTGATTCCGCCCACCAACTTGTGAGGCCCCCAAGGACAAAAATGTCTTGCTTGCTACCACATCCAAAAGCAGTGCCAAGCACATAGTAAACACACAACAGCTATTGTTCTTTTTTTTACTGAAAATCTTCATTTTTTTCTACTGGCAAACCTCTTTATTCATCCTTCAAGAGATCATCCTTCTGTGAAGCTTTTTTGTGTTGGTTCCTAGCAGAATAAGTGGTCTCACTGCACTTGCCATAGTAAATTTTAGTTATTTTGGGTGTCTGCATTTTCCATTAGGCTGTGTTATGTCTTGTCCATTATTCTACCCTAAGCAACTAGCAGAGACTGACATTTTTCCAATAAATAAATATTTGGTAAGTAACCAAATGAGTAACTGATATTTTTAAGTTTAATAAATTAGTCATAATTGATATTTAAAGATAATTAGAGCCTCAGTTTTCTTATTTATTTATAACTTCTCTAGAGTGTGATCAAAACTCTAGGTTTTAACTATTTCCTTTCAGGTCTTTTAAAAGTACTATACACTATGACCTTTTAACAGGACCACACATACTGCAGATCTACTATAAAATTTCAAATTGCAATTTGTACCACAACAATTTATGTTCACTTAGCTTGATTTGTAAACTTAATGTAACTTCTTAAAATTCTTTTGATAATAATTTCTTTTAGGGTTATTATCAGTGTTTTTGTTTTTGTTTTGTTTTTGACACAGGGTCTCAGTATATTGTCCAGGCTAGTCTTGAACTCCTGGGCTCAAGCGATCCTCCTGCCTCAGCCTCCAGAGTAACTGAGACTACAGGTGTGTACCACTACGCCCGACTCAGTGATTCATATTTCAAGAGAGTTCACTAAATGTCTACACCTAACCAAGCACTACCTTTGATCATAAAAGCCTACAAATACTACGTGAGTAAAAATATGTCTTGATCTGGTGATTAAAAAGTCAAAAATGTTTTATTTAGCTACCATAGTTTGTGAAAAGCTAATACATTATAATAACAGATAGTTGGATATCATTATATTTAATGCTTGGAAATATTTTTATACCTTTTCTGAATATATAGCTAGCTTGTACTCATACACATACACTGCACTATGCACTTGTATTTTAGTCACTTGGAATGAATACTGAAAAAATAAACAGCATTAACAAGTAGATGGTTTTTACAATTCTCATACTAGGATATTCTAGGTTCTCAAAAAACATATCTAAATACCTAAACATGCTAAATATTAAGTCCACTCTGTAAAGTAAGTTAGACATGACTGCGTAAAGATGGAAAATGCACAGTTCTGGTACCTTTATGATGAGGGGAGGATTGCTATTTAAAACTTTTGGGAGGGACTCCTCTGACTCTTCTGCAAATGGTGGCTGAACAGGGAACACATGAGCCTATCAAATATAATCAAATATAAAGACTGAAAATGATTATTTTCATGATCATGTCACATTCAGTCAGTAAGCACTAATTGAAATTTATTATAAAAGGAGACAATACAACCAAATTAACATCTTTAATGCTTCCTACAAAAACAGGTTACATTAAAGTTATACAATCCTAAACCCACCATTTTTAAAAATGTTATTGTCCCAATTTTATTAGACTCTAACTTCAAATAATAGAAATCAGTTTCAGAAACAAAGATTCTCTGAAGCCACTGAAGAATAGAAACCTACAGGATAAAATAAAACAGAAACACTCATTTTCTAAGACAAACACTTGGATGATTAAAAAAAAGGAATTCTCATTCACTTAAGAGATTTTTGTGGGAATGTTCCAGAAGATACCTCAATTTTCAAAATCATATCTTCAATATAAATGTTAAAACTTTCCTTCAAAAAACAAATATTTTCTTGCCATATATTTTAATATTTTAATGCTAGCTATGTCAATGGCACATAAAATTAAAATTTAGGTCCATTTAGTATATATGCAGTAAAGAAATGGAGGCCTCCAGAAAAGAACTAGGCTGTAAATAAAGCATAGTGGCAGTCCATTCAGTTCAATTTCTAAAAATTAAGTGAACATCGACACTGTTTCTCAGAAAAAAATATAAAGTAAATGATAGTTATAAAAGATACACCCCTAATGAAGTCTCAGAAGAAGAGACTAAAAACCAATTTATTGAAATGGCTTTGGGTTTAGCATGCTGATTAGTGCTCTACTAAAAATCAATTTGTGTACTCCAAAACAAAAAAGTATTAACAAAAAACTCAATACTAACCTCTGTGGCAAAGATTTTGAAGAGTATCCATGACATGTACCAAGTTGTCAGGAGAAAGACACCACACAGCCAGACATGGTAGAGTAATGAGAGATTCAAAAGGCCACGCACAGTGTCGAGAGGCCTGTGAAACTGCCTATAAAAGCAGAAATTGCTATTTAATCCTATAGGAAAAACAATCTAAGCATTTCACAGACTTGGAACTCTACACTGAGAAACAAATAAATCCTATCTCTAAATAATAATGTTGATAGACACCTCTCCTTTTGTACCCTTACAGAGTTCTTTCCCGAATACCTTCTTATGACATACATAAGGGAGGCTTGAGGGAAGTGCAGACCTACCTGGCACTACAGTTGCTTGTGTTCCAAATCTTCACTACTGTTTACTACAGAGAAAGAATGAGTCAAGCCTATGAGCCTAACTACTAGAGGTTGGGTGAAAGTTCATTATTGTTGCTTTGTAGTTTAACATTTAAAAACCATTAAACATGACTAGTACCTCTCCTGGACCACATTTCAGCTTTATTCGTATACCCTATAACCACAGTTTCATAGTGGTTTAAAAGCACATGCCACTAAAATAATGATCTTTACTGTTAAAACAATGTAAGAAACTCGGTTAGGATGCTAAATAAAGTTAATGCTGCCATCTTACTGAAACTGTGAATATATCAATTAACAAAGTCATTATACTTCTACAACTAGCCATTGTGAAAACCAGGATTTGAACTTCTGACTTTGCCATTTATAAGTGTTGTAATTAGGTAAATCATTGGACCTATCCTACCCCGTTTCCTTATCCGTGTAATAGTGGCATAATCTCTTCATTCTTCCCTTTAGGGCCATTAAAAGATTTGAAATGGCTTATGTTAGGAGTGCCTGGCATAGTGTTTGACATTCACTGGGGGGTTGGAGAGGACAATAAATGATAATGTTATTTTTAACTTCTTAAGTAAACAATTAC